ACAATTCCAGCATCTTTTTAGTCAGCAGAAAGGAAACTCAACTCCCCAAAGCAGAACCCGGGCAGTTTGGGCTTTCGTSCACTCGCTGCAGACGTGGCCGACGCTCCATGGGGTGCTGCAGCCCTGGAGCTGCCTTGCACTGACTTCAGGTAAGGGACAAGTGCTAGCAGAGGATTCCTGCTGCAAAACAACTGATATCATTTTACTCTTATAAAAACATAATCGGAGCAAAGTGGTGCTTTCTGAGTGCTTTCCCATCCCTGCTTACTTGCTGGCCAAACCCACACTGACGTTCCCGTGCCAGCCAAAGAAGCACGAGGCTGCAAGTTGCCACTATTTCCCACAGAGTCAGCTTCAAGACACTCTGACTACTCTAATTAACTGCAGTTAATTAAGGCAGTGCGTGCCAAGGGCATGCTTGGGAGAAGTGCGGAGACTGTCTCTGAAGTGGAGGGAGCCTTTTCCAAGCAGCCTCCAGCCTTGCTGCCAGCCTGGACGGTGAGCAAATCCTGCAGGAAAAGTGGGAGCTGCTGACGACAGCACAGAWGATGCACAACAAAATTGCAAATTTGGTCATTTCTAACCCTTGGGGAGGAAAAAAAAATGCACTGGTTCCTACAATGGTCCTCCAGGACACCAGAAGGAAAAGGTGGGTGCCCTTGGTCCCTCATGGTCCTTTAAATAGCCACCCCAACTGGTTCCCCTGCAYGCTGCCATCCCATCCTGGCCTCAAGCGCTTTGCTACCTGCCTGCTGTGCATGAGAGCTGCTCTGTGCTCTTGCCAGGCCACGTCTCTTCTTTTGGAAACAGTCTCTACCTTATGCAACCAAGGAGGAGGTGGGAGGCTGTCCTGGGAGCTCCTCTCCCTTTTCAAGCCCCTTCAGAGCTTCCCTGTCCGCAGGCAGCATCGCAGCTGAGCGGCTCAGGGTGCTCTGCAGCCCTGGCTGTGGGTGCTGCACGTGGGAACCCGCAGCCTCCTCAGCTGTCCTGCATCGTGGCTCATGTCACCTGTCCCGACACAGGGCCGATGTGGGGCTGCGCAGCGGAGGCTGGAGATGGGCACTTGGTGGAGATGCAGGAAGGCAGTCCTCACAAGTGCAAGGCAGCTTGGCACAGCTTGGCAAAATAAAAGGAAAAACACACACAAAAAAACCATTTTAAGCTACAGGTGGGCCAGGGCTACATAATCAGCAACTCCAATGGTTTGCAGATGGCTTTTGGTGGGGGAACAGTTTTATGCTGGTGCTGTTACAAAGTGCTACTGGGTGGCTATAARGCACTGCACCTTCCAGAAATCCCCTGCTCCACATCTTTTTTGAGGTGCTCAGTGGGAGGAACAGGCTTTCTTAGGCTGCCTTTGAAAGACCTGCTTGCCAGCCTAAGCAACACAGAGCAAGTTAGAGACACTACAGAAAGCAAAATATCTCCTTTCTACCCAGTGCTCTGGCAAATAYGTGTAATTAATACCCTGTTAGTGCAAAGTATCTATATTAGTTTTGCTAAGAGATAGGAGATGTGTTGCATTGCATGTGCCTTTGTAAGGAGAATTAATGTAAGCAAAAATGCAAACAGAAATGCTAAAAGCCCTGGGATGGTAACACAAAAATCTGGATTTGGTTCCTGGTTCCTGATGGTTGTGGGGGACATTGGGTAAAGCGCCCTTCTCCCTAGCTGGGATGACACGTCTCCTCTCCCCTTCCTCACTGCCTATTTTTAGTTATAATCCGAGTGCAACCGAATGGAGCTCTGGTTTCAGGCAGGGATGTTAGCCAGCCCCTGCAGTGCACTTCTCTCTGGAAATAAAAATACTTTATAGATGTTATTCAGCAGAAAGGGTGTTTGGGGYCCTGCAAATGATCCTGGGAGGGGCAAAAAATGCACAATAATATTCTATATATGATATTTTTACTTTTGTCCTGAAACTTTGGACAGAAGAAAAACTATTACGGTAACAAGTGCCTGGCATCAGTCAGTCCCTCCTGATGAAACAGGCTTTTTGCCTCTTAAAACGACAGCCTCCTTTTTCTAAATAATAATTGTATTCAGGGAAGAAGGATATTTCTGTTTACAGAGTTGATTTATAAGGCTTGGCTTTCATTCACGCAGGGAGCAAAAAGAGTTGTAGGTTTGCAGCGAATTAATCAGAGCTCCGAGTGCTGTACAGTAGTGAGCTCAGGGCGTGCTGGGCCTGAGCGTCTCCTCTCTCTGCAGCGGATGTTGGGCTAAGTTATTGCAATGAGTTTCTTCCCTCCCAAAAAAGAGAGTAATCAAGACTCAGCTAGAAAATGCAGACATCTATGGCAAACTTAAGAGAAACAAATGACGGACTTGCAAACTCACTGTTGTTTTCCTTGCAACCTTGGCATGCAAAAGCGGTTTTGTCTTGAAGGGAGAAGATGTCTTCTTCTAATGCACTATTCTAGTGGTGTTGCGTCCCTGCTAGAGAAAGAGGAGTTTTGCCCACCTGGGAACATGTGCTTGAGGAGCTAGGCTTGGGAGGTGGTTCTTTCCATGCCTGTTAGAGGATGCACCYAATTCTCTGCTATGCTGCCCACCATGCTGCCCACCATGGTGAACACTTCAGTTGGGAAGGACAATAAATGGCTTCACATTAAGGCTGGAGTCCACATGCTGGGGAAGGTCGTGCAGCTCCGGAGAGTTTCTCTGAGTCTTGCCCTTGGGTTGTGCCGGCCTGGAGGGCTATGGCCATTCGTCTCCACCGGGTTCATCCTGCAAATTTGCAGTGCTAAAACCAGCTGCCTCATGGTTCTTGTTCTTTCGTCCTACATTTGTGGCTTCTGTGTGTTGCACGTGCAGCAAAAACAGTCACATCTCCCCAAAAATGATCTTAGTCACAATGTGGGAGTCCAAATACGTATCCTGGAGGCAAAGCTTCCTCCACTTGCCTAGTGGAATGCCAAAAAAACAGACCTGTTTGCTGCTGAAACCATGAAATTGTCCTGAAAGCCTCATGAAAAGCCTGGTGTACCTCGCTCCTGGCTGTTCTCCCATACTTTGAGGGATGGAGGGTAATCTGTCTGGAAAGTCCAATGTTGTGATTTTGGCACACACACACAAGACATTGGCTCACAGTAGCCAATGTTTGTGCCTCTCTGTTGAACCTGGCGCCTCTGAAGGCACAAAAGGAGGTGGGAACCCAACTCCATCACCTGAAATGCCCCCAGTCTCTGCAGGGATGTGTCTTTGGGAGGGCAACCCAAAGCTGCAGCTCTGCTTTCCTGACCAATGCCCAATGGGCATTAGAAACATCTGAGATACTCTGTTCGGAAACATGCCAGGGCTTTCTGCTTTTTGTTTTATTTTTTTTTAACATGAAGGCACTTTTTTTTTTTTTTTTTTTTTTTAACTTTCAGAGGCACTGTATGTAGTGGTTCAAGTTATGTGAGTTGTGAGCAGCTCTCTGAAGGAAAAGGCATATTTTATATGGATTTTTCCACAGCGCTAAACTCGGCGCGTGATGCGTGTTTGCTTTCTCTCCTCCTGTTCAAGGCTGAGGCTCTGTGCCATGACAACCTCTGCATCATGTGGCAGACACACAACGCTGATTCCTATGGAAACATTAAATATTAAACTAAATCTCCTTCTGGCTTTCTGCTGGGGTGTAATTATGGCACACGAGAACCTCCTGGCATTCACAAAATTCAGCCAGACGGCTCTCATGCTTAGCTAACAGCAGCGAGGATGCATGGGGAGCTGGGCGGGTGTGTGCAGAGCTGGGATTRATGTACTGCCTCTGCTAAACCCTAGAACTAAGTGGAAAAAGTGAAGAACACTTCTCTATGCATCGCTGTACTAGCCAGATATCTAAGGAAGACTTTTCAAGGCTTCAAATATAGTAATTCCCAACCACTAGCATAAAATAATACAATAATATGTATATATATGTGTGTGTGTGCAGGAGTGTGTGGTATTTTCCGAAAGCCTGACTGCACAAAGCCAAAATAATTACGAGCCAGTTGGAGTTCAAATAGCAGCATGTGAATGATAACTGRCAACTGTTTAAGAACTTACTGAATAACCTGAAAGCTATGATTTCATAATACAGTGAGAAAATATTTACAGCTAAAGCCTGGCTCCGAGGGGAAACGAAAGCTTTCTGGAAGAGAAAAACTCTGTAATAGATAAAAAGGGGGAACGGATGAGTTTCTTGCAGGCTGCTGGAAGCTTTGCACAGCTGCACATACAGACCAGTATTGGGAAAGGGCAAATGAGATGACCTGGATAAATACAGGTTAATCAACCTTGCGGTGAACTTGTCAAAATAACAGAATTGCTGATGATCCCTAATGAAGGGTTAACAGAGGGTAATGCAGCTAATGTCAATCAGCCAAGACTTGTGGGAAATAGATCTCATATAACTAATTTCTATTWTATTTTACAAGTTTACTTGATGCAGGTCATAGACTTTTGCAAAGCGCTGGTCATACCCTAGTAATTAAAAAAAGGAAGTGACACAAAGTCAAGCTGACATTTGCAACAACATATTCAGACCAAATAATCTGTCGTGCTGTCAGAGCTAACAAGGCATGATTTGATGAGGCCTGTTGAGAATGAGCTGGGCCAACTTCTCCAGTAACCTTCAGAATACCCAAATGGTACTCTTAAAATTCAATCTAGCTATAGTAAGCTGTGACATTGATTCATGACTAAACCTCATCTATAATCTGTCAAGCCTTAGACATTTAAGGCTGTATTCTGAAATCTACATTTTGAAATCCTGAAAGATTTGAATCTTGGCTTTGAGTTAAGCCTTTGTTAAACAGAAACAGGACTAACAGGGAGCATAAATACAACATCCATTTCCCCCTGTATCTATCTTGTCTTTGAGCAAGAAGTAGCCTTGTTGTGCTGAATAAGATCTTACACTTAGAGCATAAATCCATTTTAAATCACAGTTCTACTGTGATTAGCAGCAGTCAGTCTTTCAGGGCTTTATGTATGCAGACTTACATAATGTAAAAACATATTATCACACTTACCAAAGGATTAAAGCGATTGCAGAGTTGTTGCAGGGAACTTTGTTCCAGTAGTTCATGGATGTCTGGAGTGTCTAGCTCTGGGTTTCTAAATAGCTGGCAACCGGTTTCCTATATAATGGGAAGAAGTAGATTAGATTGATTACATTGATTCACCTAATAGTATTTCATGCACRTGAAACTCAAATTCTATTTGGGTATTTGGGATTGCCTGAACATAAGAAAACACTTCTTGAGGAGGTAAAATGTAACTTGACACAGTCCTTGCTCTAGGTGACCCTGCTTGAGCACCAGGCCATCTCCAGTGGTTGCTTCCAACCCCAACTATTCTGTGATTCTTTGGGACAGACAAGATACAAGGATACGAGAGAGGCTGGACACCTCTCTAAATTGCAGTTTTTTTCAGTTGCCACCAATTAGATGAGAGTTAATGAGGGATAGTTTGGCCTGGGCTCATCTGGGATTTACTACCAGCTTGTCCTCCCTTGCTGGGAGAGCTCCTCTATTTTCTGAACAGCTCTCTCCATTACTTAAGTTTTATAGGCTATTATGAAACCACACGACCAAATTCAGTGTGCAGTTAAAGACATGTTATTTAAAAATCCAGCCCAGTGAAGGACCCAGATCAAAACAGCTAAACTCAGGAGGGAGTCCTTGGCATACCATCATGTTTAGCTTTCAGACAGGTTTCACACACTGACTGTATTTGTATAGAAACCAAAATGACCTGAGAGGAAAAATATTTCTCTTTTTTGTTTTGTTTCCAGAACAAAAAAAAAAAAAAAAAAAGAGTTTTGATTTTTCACATTAATTTCCCCTTCAGTTTTGGATTGGTTGTAATTATATGGTACACAGCAAATAAATGATGATCTACCTGTGTGTAAATGACCTGGAAGTTTGCTTTAATCCCTTGGCAAGGTTCACTTGGTATGTCGTTCATCACACTGCTGCTCCTCGTTCCAGCAACTGGGCTCATTTAATTGCTAGGCGGAATGAAATAGCTTTACCATGCCTACTTATACAGAAGTAATGATGGGTAGAACCCTGTAGCACATAATAATTGCTATTTTCCACAGAGAGGCACATGTATGTTCCCAGAAAAATCTCTAAAAGTTCCTGAGAGCAAAATGGTTTATTTTGAATCGGCAATTTTCATGTCTAAAACAGTATTTGCTGATCAAATCAGCGGGCTCTGGAACACTGTTCTCCCCCTACCCATGCTCAGTGAGAGCAACTGCCTGCTCTGTCTGCTTTCCAGCTTAAGGACTTGGAGACTGTTTCAGCATTTTCTTGGATTAGGCTTCTAACGTACTCACTGCCTCATAAAAATGTCAGTCTAAAACCTACCTTTCACCTCAGACATTTCTTTTGGCTCCCACATTATAAAGGAAACCGAAAATAGATTGCAATGATTTTTCCCCAGGGAGATAAATGCAAGGGATGAATCCAGACCAACCCCTTTGTTTGAGGATGCCTTGCCTGGCCTGCTGGGATATGTCCTGATGATTTTGGCAGAATATCGACATGTGCCAGTCACTCCAGTGCAATCAATACCCTGACATTTCAGGTCATACTTGCAGACCTTTTCCCAGCACAAAAGCGCTTGTGCCACGTTTGCATGAAGGGTTTCATACCTCATCCCATCTCCTCTTTCCCTCTGTTCATCCTGATAAGCTTTTTGATGTCTCTGGGAGCACGTTGGCTCTAAGATCCTCTTGTAATGTCCAGCTTCACAATCCTATTAAACACTCCTTTCCTATCACTCCACATGCCTCACATTTATTTCCTGCTTTGTTTCAGACAGGGCTGTTTCAGACATCTTCAGTGCTGGCATATGTAAGTAAGAAACTATCTTACCACTCAACTGATGATGTGTATGTTCCTGGCTTAAATCAGAGGGAAATACACGAGCTTAAATCTTTCCACTGACACATAAGTTAATGCTTTTGATCTTTCATACTTGCCAAGGTAAGAGCACTCTTGCAGACAATTAATAGGACTTGAATGATAGATATGATTCATTAAGCTGACACGCTTTGGCCATGAATGCATCAGACAGGAATCCACGTGCATGAGGCATCAGGGAGTAGTGACTTGGATTGACCTAGTAAAATTTGGAGACTCTTGTTTTCATATTGATTTAGATCTCATTGGGAAGCAGAGGTAATGTTTTTGGTAGTGTAAGATTTGCAAGGAGAGAGTTCTCTGCTCATTCAGCTTGAATAGTTTGCTCCAAAGAACACTAAGAGGATCAGGGCTGGAAGAACAACACAGGTCCTCTTTCCATGCTGGCCACCAGTTTGAGGAATTCAGCATCGTGCCCTGTATCTACAGCTAGTCAGTGGTCAAAAACCTCATTTTTCTTCATGCATCTGTAGAAAAAGAAGAGGAAGGGCAGCATCCAACACTGATCTCTGGGAATGCTTGACATTGACATAGACTGTGAATATTTTTAGCATCCATGAGAACTTTTCCTTGCCACATCAAGACACCTGGGACCAGTCCTAGAACGTCAGTATAAGGGTAATTGCTTTATGATGGGAGAGCTAAGACACAGAAAGGTTAAATAATTTCTCTCTGTCTGCATAGTACAGCAGCAGCAAATAATCTTGGGAATAAATCTCAAGACCTTCCCACACCTTCCCAGGGCTGCCTCAGACGCTGTCACCAGACTGGCGCTGTTTCAAGGGCTAACTGTCATGTCTATTCCTCTTTAGCAAGTTTAATGGAGACACCTTGCTAAGGAATAAGGCAATACATTCTCTCCACGACAGTGGCATTCCTGGTGCCCTTCCCAGCTTGCCCAGTGCAGCTCCCATCCATCTTCAAATGCATTTCAGCACTACACAGTCAAAAGAGGTTACTGTCCAGGGYTAGAAATAACTTGTATGGCCAATAGCAGCTCTTTTAGAGAAGGCCTGGGTAAGGGTAGAAATACGCATATATTCTTGCTCTGAAATCTTGCTTGCTGCAGACCAGGAGTTACATCTCTTTGTTGCAGGGCAAGTCTCACTCAACAGGCCAAAAATGCAATGTACAGATGCTCAGAAGCAGAAACAACCTGTGAAGCAGCACAAGATTTTCCTCCCCACATASCAGGCAGGGAATTGCTATAGTAAGGTCTAAGCAACTTGCAAAATCAGTTTTTGGCAGTGAAGGGCATTCTGCTTGAGCTCTTTGATTCCCAGTAGCCTCTAAGAGATGCTATTAATAGCTGGAGAATTGATAAGAAACAAGGCAAACTGTTATTTGGACACCTGGGCGTTGAGAAGCTAGCCTTTGATGSAAACTCAGGCCCTTGAACTGTTTCCATGGAGTGGCAATGACTTTCATTCAGCATCTCTTAAGTTAATGACTTCAGGGTAGTTCGAATGGGATCAACGGGACAACTCTCAGGAGGTTGATTTTGTTTTTTCCTTAACATCAGTATAAGAGCAAAGCTGCTGGAGATACTCCCACTGTTATTGCAGGCAAATTCCTCCCTTTGACCGCCCAACTCTTTACAATCCTATTTATGCACAAGCACCACCAACCAAACGAGCAACTGTGGCAAGATGCTTTTTCAGCTGGACCTACTGCTCCTTTTATTAAATAAAAATTATGGCTCTCTGTTTTGACATTTCACTTTCAGCCACAAATCAAATGCACGGAAAGAAGACACACTGGTCCATTTGGCTGGTCATCGTGCCAGGAAGAAATGTCTACAACTGGTCTGTAGTGATGCTGTTGATTAGGCTGGGTTCCTGTCTCAGGTCTGTGAGCATTGATTCAGAAGCACAGAGAGGGGGGAAGCATCTGCCAGAGGCATAATGTGCAACACAGAGCCAGAACAGAATTGCCTGACCATGAACAACAATTGCCAACAAACAGATGTTGGTCTGGTCTTAAATTACATTGCCTGCAAGCCTGGAAAAGATACCAACTTATAAATAACAGTCTTTGGATCCTCTATGGCCTTGTATACTTAGGTCCCACCTTAGGGCAAATCAGTCTCAATAAAAGCTAGCTGAAAGTGTGATGTGAGCATGAGATCTTTAGAGGTGTCTGGGGTTAAGGTGTCTTGAGCTTCTTCATAGAAAAATTCTGTTTATTGAGGGGAATTAATCATTCTTCCTGCTTTGCACTTTGCAGAAGAAGCAGCCCTAGGTTGCAGGGCTCATTTCTCCTCCYGGATGGGACCATCCATCCAGCAGCGTGGCGGCCCTGCTCGGTGCTTGCAGATGGGCTTGCCACATGCAAGGGGCTGCAAGCACGCAGCCGTCAGAGCCTGCAGACCTCGGTTTGCAGCGACCGTGTTTGGCTGACACAGCCCCTGGGGCATCCTGTGCGTGCAGGCATTTGTGAGCGCCTGTTTTTGCATATTGTACAAGCAGAAAAACAAATGTGTCATCTAGCATTTTGAGAAGCGGGGAGGGGACCTGCTAGTGCAACTTGCCTACGGACTAACCTGAAAAATTGTGTTACAATTTAATGTGATGGAAAGCTACAATTAGCTTTAATTAAGGCAGCCTCATTGCCTTGCCAAGAGCAGAGCTGCTGTCAGCTCCATTTTCCTACCTTTTCACGGCACAAACATGGTACAATTCAGCAGCTTAATGCTCCTGTCACAAAGTCCTCCCCACATAGTACTGATGAATGGGCTCGGAGGATTTATTACGATTATGGGATCCAGAAACACCCCCRGTTCTGGGAAACCTGTACTATACGGTGTAGAAATTAGGAGTAAGGAGAAGTCAGAGAATAGATAGTCACATACGGCAGAGTAGAGACCAGGGATGAGCCCGAGGTGATGCAGTCTCCTGGTAAAGCTGGGATAAAAMCTCCTTCTTCTTCTGATTTAACAGTAGTGATGTATCCATTAGACCACAAAAGACACTGCCTTCAGGCATCGCAAACAGAGTATCGTTCCCTGCTTTATGGTCTGTGACATAGAGGATCTCGGTGACATTTCTGAGCTGTTTCTGAGAACCTTTAGTGAAAGGGTGGAAAACATACATTAGTATAAAGTGTATTTCATGAAGTTTTGTCTCAGCCAGTGAGCATCTTCAGGTTTCCTGAAAGAAGATATAAGACTTCYTTAACTTCCCATTTTTTGAGTTTAATCTTCTTTCAAACAATTTCATGCACAGATAAGGCATGTAACCTGCACCTGCCTTGCAATGAGTTTGCATTTCTCCTCTTTGATAAAAGCCAGGTCTCTTCTCCATATAGGATGCAGTCACGACCACAGAAATTATTCCCATCTATGATGTGCTGTATTCAATGAGCAGAGATGGTCTCTTGTAATTAAATGTAATTTCTCTGTTGCCTCAGAGAATATAGAATTTTATCTCATTAGTGCAATCAGCCTTTTATGACAGCAGAATAGGATTTTAGATCTGGGTTGCAAAGGATACTGATTTGTGCCATTTTAGGTCACAATATTCACTAAGAAAATCTCTGGTGCAGTTGATGGATTCACATTAGAATATCTATCTCGAGTCCTGCCTGAAATCAAACATCTTTAGGAATTAACACAGTTCTTGTGAGACCGTGAGGGTTTTTCATAATGTCACAACATCTGTCTGCACACTATTAAATTTAGCCAGGAATTGGATTATCTTGTGTCAGAAATATTATTTTCTTATTTCTGTCAAGCAGAAAGGAATTAAACTTATAAAAAAAGAGGAAGTATTGCAGTCCAAATATAGTGTTTTATGTGAATTTCAAATTTCAAAAGGTATTTGTACATAGAATCCATTTCAGAATAAAAAAAAAATGCATGCATTTTATTTGGAAAGGGTCAGAACAGGGCATTTTAATATGAGATAGCTTTCTCAGCTCTTCCACAGAGCAATGCCAGGCTTTGAGGAGCAGAACTCAGGTGCCCGGCAGTCCAGTGGCTGCCAAGGTATTTGGATCCATACAGATAAAATGTCCAGTTCACATCTACCCTGAGATGAGCTGAAGGGAAGAATTTGAACAGCAGAAAAACAACTAGCCAAGATGCTGGCAACTATTGCATGTTGTTGCTGTTAACAGCTTATTGATGGAACTAAGGCTTTTCTTTCCATTATTATCATTCAGGATCCGTTTTCCAAATTTTACTAATTTGTTTGGTCATAACTGTTCAATAGATCTTTCCTGCAAATATGTTTCAATCTCTGGGTTATTCACAAACGTGTTTGATCAATGTATTTGTGTTTGCTTAATGAATTCCAGTTGTTCATTAGTGCACCTATTGTATGCTATTACTTCTATTTCCTAGCTGAATGCTATAAAATAAATACATTAAATACAAAAATTAAAAAAAAAAAAATGGAGAAGAATCAAGTTTCACTGATTTTTCAGGAAAAAGGTGTAAAAAACACATGGGCTTTACGCTGTAGAGGGCAGTGRTATCCCATCTGGAGGCAGAGCAGTGGTGTGGTGGCTCAGCAAACAGCTTGTAACCCTAATTTAAGATGAGTGRAAAACATGGGAAAAAGTTTCAATGTTCCCATTTCCAGGAAATGATAAATCTGCTCTATAGASCCTATTTCACCAAGCAATGCCCTCCTCACTATATAAGCCTCAATTATGGTAYAGAGCTTATATTTCAAGCCGAGCAGAACAGAAAGCAGATTTCCTATTTCCTCTAGGAGCCTTTGGGATTTCTGAGTGGTCTCCCACTCTGAATAGGAGTGCAGATAAACACTTCAAATATCCCTTTTTTGGTGAACTGTAATCACCASACTTTGGGGTCAGATGGGATACTGTGTTCATTTTAACTTTTATTGCACCTTAAGCAAGAGAAAGCCCCCGTGTCCTCCAGGCAGGAGGAACCAGGACTGCAAACTGGGGAATATTTCACTTCTTATGTTCTGATTCCGCAGCACATTTGTGTTTGGAATATATTTTTCAGGTCGTTGATGCACCTTCTCTTTGAATCAGATAAATACGTGGAAGGTGCAGTGATATTCAGGCGACGTTAAGCACCAGTTCTACGATCACAGCAAATCATTGCAGTCCCCTGAGCTTGCTGACAGTGACTTATTTTTCTATTTTTAAGTGCTTCTGTTTATGATGGAGAAGTTTACAGGATGATAAACAGGATAAAAAGCCAGGCTGAAGAATCTGATTACTGTAAAATCCATTTAATTCAAGTATCCCAGTTATTTCTATTATGGGACATGTTAGAAATAATTCTACGTCTTGAAGTAGTTTAAAGAAGATCCATTTTCAAAGGGAAAAAAAAGCCCTTCTCAAATTCATTTTATTGGCTTCTTGGACAAAGCATGAAATTAGGAGCTTATCCTAAAATCACTGAAATTGAAGACAGGTTTTTCTTTTGACTTTAGTGGGTTATAAATCAAAGTGGATGTGAATAGCTGAGCAGTATCATTGTAATGGATAGCTGGTACAAGGAAGAGTGATGGGGCTGGAGATGTGTAATACCAATAAACATATGGGTGTCACCAGACAAATGATAATGYTCTGTTGGGCTAAGCAGCAGAAATGTCTCCTGAAAGCTTCAGTGTTCACCAAAGAAGCTTCTGAATTGAGATTACTTTTCCAAAACTGATTTATAGATGTAAATTCTGCTCTCCAAAGACCTTGAAAAGTGGTATAAGATGGGGGGAAATGGACAATGTCTCTTCTTTTAATCTAAAAGGAAAACTCTGAATGTACCTSTCATGTTATGGGAGGTGGCAGGAACATCTTCCAGTGCTCCAGGGCTCCATTTGAGGCTACCAATGCTTCCCAACATAAGTTTTGCTTTTCAATCACACCTTTCTTTCCTGATAGGAAATTCTCATTAGCTTTTACTGAATTTACAGGATTTTTGATTGTATTCACAATACTACTCCTAAAGAAAGTCTAAGTTTTAGCATTTTAAAGGAGAAAGCTTCATTTCTGCATGGGGACTAAAATTTCTCTGAGTTCTTGCTTCTCTGATATTTTGTTCTATTGCTTTTTATTTTACACTTCATTCAGTGTACGTGTTTTTCAGCAGCTGCCAGGAAATGATCACAAGGAAGCTGCAAATAAACTCGCTGCATCAAAAGAAAACAAAAACTATTTGAGAAGTAAATTAGAAGTAAAATGTACAAGAGGTGGCAATTAATAAAACAACAAAAAAAAATTTAATGCTAAATGGCTTTTAGCGGTATTTTAGAAATGTGAAAAAGGGAGAAGCATGGTGGCCTTTGCTCTTATTATTTATATGATGGAAAGGATTATATTTTCACATTATTATTGTCGCTGTTGCAGCAGAGTTAATTCTAGCTGCAAATGGATAAAGTATTTTCCCAGGCTAGCAGCAACCTGTGCTGCTGATTCTCCTGCCCCAGGAGGAGGAGGAGTTTTCAACAACAAAATTCTCTGTGTTTTTCCACCCCACTGCTGTTCATGCAGTACCAGACCCAGGTCTGGAAATGGGCGAATCTGTCTGAACCCGGTCCCCGTGGAGCATTAGGCTCATGATGACCTGTCTTCAGATTACTAGAGTTGCCTCCCCTGAGTGCTTCTTATCTCCTTCTTATCAGCACACATTAATTGTACCCTTCATCTGAATAACCCATCTCTGATAAATACCAGTTTTGCATGAAATAAGCCCCGTGAGGCTCAGCTTCTGGGGTACCAAAGAGGAAGAAGGGCCCATTTTTCAGACTTGATCAGGTAGGAATGCACTAGGGAAACCAGGAGGAGCAAGTGCCACGGAAAAACATGCACCAGGCTCTTTACCTAATGAATGTTTAAATCTCTCTTCCTTAATTTGGTGATTGAATTTACTTCTGAGTTTAACTGATTAAAGGACAAAGCGAAACAGAAGAGGATCGCATTCAGTGGTGGAAGGAATAATTGATCCTATGTGATAGATTCAGGGTTAAAATGACCATTTTTTTCCAAAGAAAACATAGCCATCCATTAAGTTTGTTTAAACCTAATTTATTAGGCATTTTATCTCTCCTCAGAAGCTCTAAAATTCTTTCTTAAGAGYTGCCTTCACTCTACACTGTCCCTTTCTCTTAATATTTTCTCCAACTAATGCATCTTCCCATGCATTTACAATCTGATCCTAGGAATATTGATATGCTAAACTGACCTATCGATGGACTCTGGGTAACGAGCTCTGCACAGCRAAGCACAGACCTTGGTTAAGAAATCTGGATTGGGCCATTTAAATAAAAACATTTTACTTTCCATTGTTAGCAAGAAGAACAATATTTGAATTAGCATTCAGGTTTGGTTTAAATGTAAAGTCAATAATTGCAGATAGTTAATTTATTCAAACAATTCCTATTCCTAATTACTCGCAAATAATATTATCTACATAAATCTCCCTTGAAGAAGCATATGAGATATTATTTTTTAATGGTCTGACTAAGAGAGAGACCATTAAAGCTTGAAACAATGCACGAGTCTGCTGGTGCTTCCTAATAATTAGAGCAAGCCAAAATAACCCCAAGAGCTGCTCTGATATCTGTTCTTACCAGCCCTCGCCTTGTTTTTCCCCAAGGCAAAACAGCTTCTGTCAGCTGTGAGCCTCTGCCCTCCTGTCTAACACTAACCTGCTGCAATGGAAAAGCTCAGCTGGGATGTGGGAATTCATTCCCTCTGGACGCTGCGTGGGAGGAGGATCACCCCCTGCTCGCTCCTGGGGCACCGGCAGCTCTCTGCTCTCTGTCCCGCGGCGCGGCAGGACGGATGCTGGGCTGGAGCACCAGGCGGCAGCCGGATCTCCGGGGCAGGCTGGCACACGCCAGCAGTGCCTGGGTTGCACAGAAGCAGCACGTGAGTCCCGACCTCGCCCCCGGRGTGCTTTATCTCCCAACACTTCTCTCTTCCTGCCCACCAAGCCTGCTAAGGGCGGCTGATCTCCTCATTTATTAAACCCTGCGCCGAGCTCTCCTGAAGCTTTGCAGCCTCACCACGCACCTAGG